AGTCCCGATAAGCTACCTGACTTGGTTGACATCAGATAAGCTTGTCAAAGATGTATAATCTAGTCTCTTGGATCCTGATCCAGTGTAATATCTGTCACGCAAGAGAGACTGTAATTTGTTCTACATTTAGTATGCTAGAATCATCCATTGGCTGACTGACTTCAATTACTTTTTGCAAACAGATCTTTATTTATCCTGGTAATGTGTTTTGTTCATTTCCAAAGTCTTAATTAATTTGTTACATGAGACTCTAGCAAATAAAAGATAAATTCTTCAGATGTGCTGATTAATTTCTTAAACAATACCATGTTGCATAATAGTATTTCTTTAAGAAAAAGTCCTCTAGTTAAAAAGACTATTCCAGACATACAATTTTAGAAGTTACTATGTAAAATAAGTTTATAATATGGACATTTCTTTTCCTTATGTCAGTGTTCTCCATCATCATACCACTTGTTATTTCACAATCAATGCATTAATTAATAATCTTGATGTGACTGGAAGGTTTTTCACATATTTAGTTTTATAAAGAATGTGCACAAGACATGAATGAGGTTGCTACCACTATCTTTTCCTTCTTCTGGCACCTTCTATCATTCATAAATAAGAAAGGAGTCATGTGAGGCTCTTTAAATGATTGAAATTGTTCTTCCTAGAAAAAAATCTGATTGAAGTATGTTTCACAGGTAGTTTGAAGACTGTCACCAACTTGTATAATTTGGGTATGGTCCAGTATTTGGTTATAATATCATATTAGATTAAATAAAAACAAATTTACCTGTTATCCACGGCTTTCTTCATCTTCTAACATATTCACAACATGTCCATGACATCATTCTGTCTGTTGTTGGGGCGCCTGGGTGGCTCAGTCAGTTAATCATCAGACTTCGGCCAGGTCATGATCTCATGGTTCGTGGGTTCGAGCCCCATATCGGGCTCTGTGCTGACAGCCAGCTCAGAGCCTGGATCCTGCTTCAGATTCTGTATCTCCCTCTCTCTCTCTGCCCCTCCCCTGCTCACACTGTCTCGCTCTCTTAGGAAAAAAAAAAAAAAACATTTTGGCTATTGTTGCCATGTTTGTCTTGCATTCCCTCTCATTTCTTGACATATTTTGTTTCTTGGTCTCTATTACTCTTTTCAATGCTACTCCTGTCTCAACTGTATATTAAGAGATCCTTCTAAAGACCAGTTCCTTGCCGTCCATGATCTTGGCCTACCTACACCTCACCCATTGACTCCCAGTCATATCCTTGATAATAGCATAGCCTTAACTGCAAATCCGATATAACCTAATTCAGGTATCCCCATCTGACTATCACTTGTACATATATTTCTGGCTTATTCCCTCTGATATCTACTAGTATCCAGTGTTTCTTTATTTATTCCTTTTTTTAAACTGTATGCTGTGGAAGCTTCCAAAGAAAGAAAGTTGGTATATAGAACTCTTATGTACCATCAGCCACTTTCAACAATTATCAATTCATTGCCAATTTTGTTTCATTTACTGTAATGTGAAGTAAATACAAGGTAACATATAATTTAATCTTTATATTAATAACTACATTTAAGAAATGATATATTTATCTTTTTTATTATATTACTAACAACATGAAGAAATTATTGTTAATTTTTAATAGGTAACTGGTCTTTAACCCCAGCAAGACTTCAAATTCATTGAACCTGACCCCTATTTTACTGCCTCTCACATCCATGACATCCTTTTTCTTCTCTTTGTCTATTTTATTTATTTATTTATTTATTTATTTACTTATTTATTTATTTTGAGAGGGATAGAGAAAGAGCAGGGGCTGAGAGAGAAGAGAGAGAGAATTCCATTATAACATAATCTCATTATATTCTCATGGCCACAGCTACATCCAGGGTTACATCAAACTCTTAGCCTGCTCCATGTCTGCATCCCTACAGCTGAATAAAGCCGGAAAGTAATTGACAACTACATTGACTGTTTTCATTTTATTTATTTATTTTCCTTGTCCTCCCATTCACAGTACAGACCAGGCAAAGGGCCTGGGCTGGAATGTATATGGGTGGATTTACTCTGCCTCCTCTTTCTGTACAGTCAGTGTAGGAATACAGCCTGGGATAATCACCATGAGGCTGATGGTTCTAATTTAATTTTTTTTTTTAATGTTTACTTTTAAGAGACAAAGACAGATGAGTGTGAGCGAGGGAGGGTCAGAGAGAGAGGGAGACAGAATCTGAAGCAGGCTACAGGCTCTGAGCTGTCAGCACACAGCCTGACACAGGGCTCAAACCCATGAACTGTGAGATCATGACTTGAGACGAACTTGGATGCTACATTGACGGAGCAATCCAGGCACCCCTGACTGTTCTCCTTTTAAATTCATTATTAGGGAGTCCTTAATACTGCTCTGTAATTATACTATATTTCTGTAGTCTTCTCTTATCCCTACCATTCTATTTAATACCCCTTTCTTGACCCTTTAACATGTCTTCCATAGTCTAGGGTGTTCTCAGATGCCGATCTTGCTTCCCAGTTCATGGGAAGAGTCGAAGCATTCACAAGAGAACTTTCATAGCATCACTACCACACCTGCCTTACCACCAGCATCTGCACCCTCATAGTTGGCCTTCTGTCTTGATGTTTGGGATGATCTTTTACTGGTATTTATTTTCTGTGCTCTGATTACTTTATGTTTACACTGGATTCTTTTATTACATACTAACAGACATTGCTCCAGCAGTTCTTTCCTTCCCCACCCACCTCCCACCATCTCTTGCATCATGAATTTTCACTCTTTACTGGAGCATTTGATTAGCATACAGACATGCTGTTCTCTCACCCTAAAACAAAACAAAAAAGTAAAACTCCTCCTGACCCAGCTTTACCCATGGCTACCTCTTCATCTCTCTGCTTCTTCTTATAGACAAATCACTCAGAGTCGCCCATACCTGCCATTTCCTGCATCTGTCTTCCCATTCCCTCTCACACCCCTTAGAGTAAGGCGTTTGCTCTTACCACTCTACAAAAACTATAGTGGCCTTTGCTGCTTCCTTCCCTTGTCCTAAGGCTCAGTCCTTGGTCTCCTTTTCTATTTATCCAGTCTCCCTTGGTGACTTGAATTTAATTGTCATCTCTACACAACTGACACCCAGTTGACATCTCTGGCTTAGACTTCTCCACTTAGCATTCCACTTGGCCCCTCACACTTACCTAAAATTTAGTGTAGCTGTATTCTTCCTTCTCTCAGTTGATGACAACTTGGTCCTTCAGGTTGTGAAGCTAGATATTTTAGAGTCACTCTGTTTTCCCCCTTTTTCCTCTCCCGTCCTATGTTCAATTGACTCAGTAATCCTGAGACTCAAAGGTATCCAGCTTTTAGCCATTCGTCTTCATCAGTGATGGTGACTAGCATAAGGACCATCCTTCTCCTGGCTACCATCACCCCTCACTTAAATTGTTCCTTTAGTTCTAACTGGTCTGCCTGTTTCCCTAGTTCCTACCCTTAGGATCAACACAGTAGCCAGAAGAATCTTTTTCTAACATAAATCAGATCATATTATTACCTCAGTTTAAAAGCTTCTAATAGATTACAGTCTTATTCAGGATGGAATGCTGAAGGCTTTCTAATACCTTCAAGACATTGTGATTACTCCATTCTCATTCCATTTCTGTTATCTCCTTGCTGTTTCTTGAATATGCCAAGCAAGCTCCTAATGCTGAGCCTTGCACTGCTGGTACCCCTTGTTAGGAACCCAATTTCTCAAGATATCCATGTTGATGACTAACTCAATTCCTTTTTATGTCTCTGCTCAAAGGACACTTTTTCAAAGAGACCCACCAAGAAAGGCCCAAACCCAACCTTCTCAATATCCAGGGGCTCATAATCTCCCTTATTCTAATTTTTTCCCAATAAACTTATCATATGATAGCTTATTACTGAATTTACCTATTTGTAGCTTCCGGTTTCTTCCCCTACCTAAAATGTAATCTTCACCAAGGGCAGGGATTTTGTATTGTCTAGCACATAGTAGGTGGTCATTTGAATGGTTCTCCTTTTTTTTTTTTTTTTACCAGCATTATTTCATTCCCACTGCTCCTCAGAGTCAATAATGGTTCTGTTGTCAACTGTTAGCTTGAACTCTTTCCATTTTACAGGCCTGTTTTTAAAGAAATTTCTCTCTTCATCATCTTAATTATATGGCCTTTTTGTCATTTTTTTTCTTTTACTTATTCTGTCTGCTAAGCTCATTTTAGTCAAATGTGTTTAACTTCCTGGTTTTTAAGTCCTATACCTTTTCTCAGCTTTAGCCCCTTCCTAGCCATGTTTCTATTTCTGTGAGATTTTTTAGTGTCTCTTTATTTATTTTGAAACAGAGAGGGGGGGAGAGAGGGAGAGAGCAAGCAAAGGAGGGACAGAGAGAGAGGGAGAGAGAGAATCCCAAGAATCTGACAGTGCAGAGCCCAATGCAGAGCTTAATCCCACAAACCATGAGATCATGACCTGAGCCAAACTCAAGAGTAGGATGCTCAGCTGACTGAACCACCCAGGCACCCGTGTAAGATTTTCTTCTCTGTCCCAGTACCCCCAAGACATTTATTGTTAACAACTAGTTTCGGAGAGCTTGCTTTTCCCTAGAAATGTTTCCCACAAAAAATCCTAACGCTGGTGTCCACCTTCTGTCTACCTGTGTCATTCCACTACCCTACCTGTACACTTGCAGTCTGTAATTTGGATTCACCCTTCACTCAGCATCTTACTGAACTGTAGATTTCCTTGTATTTAAAGCCAGTATGAAAGTATTTCATGCTACAAATCTATAATGACTGTATGTAGTCACTTGTTTATTTTCAATATACTTTTGTACCTTTTAGGAAACTGCATACACATTTGTGTATACATTTATAAGTGGTATGTATTTCATTAGTTTCTGTTTTAGTATTGCTGAGAGCAAGCAATTTCTAAACCTTTCCCTATTGGATATCTAAAATTGTTTTACATTTTTATCTTTAATAGGTCATTGCTTTAGTGATGGATATATTTACAGATGTGGACATTTTCAAAGAAATAGTGGAGGCATCAACTCGAGGGATATCTGTATATATTCTGCTTGATGAGTCCAACTTTAATCATTTCCTAAATATGACTGAAAAACAGGGCTGTCAGGTTCAACGACTCAGGGTAAGAATTCCATGTTTGTTTTTTCTTCGGTTATTTTGTGTACCCTTTTTATCTCTGTTGAATGTAAGGCAAGTTAAGCTGTATTACTCCAAATATATATCTGTCTCTACATATATGTAACACACACATAAATAAATTTAAGGTGGAATAATGATAAATCACAAAAGGATATTATTCTCCTTTTTGGAATGTGACTGAAAACACACATCCTCATGATGGTTTTATAAGATGCTGTTCTTGATGAGGAGACACTTAAGCTTCTGAGTTAACTTTGCTCAATCATAGTGAACACTTCTGTTTCTCCGAGCACATAACCTTGAAACCACTGACTCCAGTGATTCTATCATTCAGCAGATGTTGCTTATCACAATTTTTAGGCATAGTGTTTTCAGTTTCATTTGACTTCTTAAAAAAACAGCGTGGATTTTCATTTTTATTGTGGAATTGTGTCACTATAACCCGAAGGGCTATCTTGCAATAGTATCCTAGGTGATTTATGAGACCATTCTGTATAAGTGTAAAATAATGCCTCCTGCTTATGTTATGCTAAGATACATCTATATTTTTAATGACTTTTTCTTGAGTGTTTTTTGGGGTGATATTTTAAAATTTGCTTTTACTATTTTTTGTTACAGGTTTAAAAAAAGATTATTTCAAGTATACTTTTTTGGTACTAAGATTTTATATTGACATATATTTCACTTTCAAAATATCTCTTTTCTAGTTATAACTTTATATTTACATGTAATTCTAGAATATTCGAGTGCGGACAGTAAAAGGCCAAGACTATCTTTCAAAAACAGGAGCAAAATTTCATGGAAAATTAGAACAGAAGTTTTTGTTAATTGACTGCCAGAAAGTTATGTATGGTTCCTACAGGTAAGATCGTTCTGTTTACCTCCAGCATTATCAACCACTTATAGGATTTATTAGTTTCAAATTTTAATATAATCTGCTTAGATATTCCTTAGAAATAAAAAGGAACCTTTGCATGGAAGCTTGGAGACTTGGGTTTTAGTTCTAGCTGTACCTCAAAAGAACATTAAGACATTGGGCAAGTCATCCAACTTCCTTGTGCTCTAAGTTCTTCATCTCCAAAATGAAATGGCTAACAAATATGTGAGGTTCCCTATAGTTCTCTAATGCTTAAAATGTTTTTGCTCTTTATGAAAATAGTTACAGTACAGGCTTAATAGTAACATCTGTTCGTAAAAATAGAAGCTCTTTATCACTTTGAAGAACTGTCAGATAGATTGTTTTTATTTTAGTATTATTAAGAATCTGATAGTCCATCATGTAGTCACTATGTTTAGTACTACCCAAAATGCATTTCAGACACTGGCTGTTAAAAGCGCCATGGTAGACACTAGACAAGGTTACTTGGGTTACTATTATCAGCATCGTTCAAGGCTACCATTGGCAGAATACCTCCCCTGTTCTAGACTGGCCCTTCTACATACGTCATCCGCAGTCCTTACCACTTATCTACAAGGCAGTTGTTTGCATCTACATTTATCAGTGATGAAACTGAAGTTCCAGAAGGTTAAGTGACTTGTCTACAACCCCAAAGCTAAAGGCCAGCAGCATTGCAGGACTGGCAGCCAAGTCCAAGCTCTGCTTGCTCCAGAGTGAAAGTGCTGCCCTAATCCTCTCTTACAAATTCCGGGCACCAGATACACAATCAGGGACACACAATCAGGTTATATCAAGAGACAGATCAAAATACCAACGAGCACATGTGACCTTCTAGGTCACTAGGGCAGCATAGACTCCTAAGGAGCCAGGAGAACTGTGGGGGTAAACAGAGCAGTGCGAGGGGAAACTTTTTTTTTTTCTCTTAACAACTTAAAAAGTCCACAGGAAGTAGACAATATATTGAAGTGATTGGGGATGTGTCAGTTAGTTACTTGGTTTCTCTTAGGTTTGCTCCTCTATAAAATAAGAATAATCCTTGAGCCTACCTCACATTGTTGTTGTGGGAATTAAATGAGTTACTGCATCCATAACCCCTGGAGTCAGGTTTAATGATAGGCATATTTTAGCCACTAATATCTGGTAACTTTCCCTTTAAGCTCAGAGACCTTTTTTTGCAAGTACTGTTTTGAGTTCTAAAGGAAAACTTGTTAAAAGCAGAAATTACAACCGGTGCTTGAAATTAATGAGTCCCTTTAAAGACTCATTATATGTGTATGTATTTGTTCAGATCCACTTGGCTTTACAGGGTTTTTAATTGAAATTTTAATTAAAATTAGGAGTTCACTTGACTTATAGAATGGTATTTATTAGTTAATCTCATCATAATGAATGCTTTCTGTTTTTATTATTTAACCTGACTTTTAAGATTACCTTGAACAATAAATGTACCTTAACTTTGTTTTGCTACCACTAGGCATTAATAGGTCCTGTATATTGAGATGACTATGGCTAAACTACTTTTGAATTGATACTGGGAAAAACAGACAAACCACAGCAACAAAAACCCTTTAGCTTTCAATGTATATCATAAGCCAGAGGCAGAATTTAAGTTGCTACTTATGGAAATGAGGATAGAATGCCTAGGACTGCAGATGATAAAAATTCGCCAAAACTCTGCTTTCCTTATTAGTCCATGTTAGTTTTAAATATGCTTCTTTAAAAAAATAATGGTTGTCAGCCCTTGTTTTTTGTTTTTGTTTTTTTGTTTTTGTTTTTCTACTAATTATCTTGAATCTTTCCTGTTAACAGGATTCTAAAAGGATCTGGTGGAACAATTATGAACCAGTTTTCATAAAAACTGGTTAAAAATTTAATTGTTTTTGGTTAAAAACAGCATTTGTCTCATATTCCAAGGTTGCCGTCATCTTCCTTATAGCCCAAATCAGAATGCCACTTTCTTTAATTCAAAATTCTTTGCCATAAAAGGTCTTCATACTCTAAACTGTAAGCATTTCCAGAGAGGCTTGATGTCAGCACTCACCGTAGTTACACATTGTGTGACAGTTCAATCATTGTGATGACAGTTTTATTAGGAAAACAGGACAAGTGTTTTGTCATATCATGATACTAACATTGATGAGATAAAACGCATACACTTTGTATCAATGTGTGCAAATCACATTGTGAATTGGATGCCCTTGTTTGAAACTGTCAATGAAATCCGGAACATATATTAGTATTGTCTACACATTTGGGAGAGAATTTTTTCAGCATTTTCTTAAATATTCTGGCCTCTATGAAAGCTACTTTCAAAAGACAAGTTTCACGGAAGTTGTTGGCTTCCAGGTGCCATCTCTGATCAGACTTGAGGACTGTCACATTGAGATCCATGCTACAACCTGTGTGCTGTCACCGCTTTCACTCCTTAGACCTCACTGTATAATCCCCAGACAGGAACTCAGAGTTTTTGAGCCTCATTTTAATATGTAAATTCATACATATTATAATGAATATGTCAACATTCCCAACTTCATGAATGTGACACTGTGCCTGGAGGGAATGGGAGTAGTAAGTTCATTTTATTTTTTATCCAGGTAAATATGTGCACACTTTTTAAAAAATCAAGTATTTCTAAAAGACATTAATACAAAAGTTTTTTTCTCCATCTCTCTCCATTGCTGGATCTTGATCTCCGGGTGCAAGTATTTAATTCTTTGAGCTGGTTCTTCTGATACTTATTCCATCCTCTTACATAATGTGATTATACTGCAAATGCTGAATCTATCACTTTTAGATATCATCTCTTGACTCTCAGGTATGGTGATTGAACAGTGATATTTCTATTCACTCATATCTACTTGCCCTCTGCTTGCCATTTAGCCAATAGTTTTATCACAATTGTTTGCTAAGTAAGAAGTCTTGGTTTACATTACTAAAATTGTGTCAGAATTTATCACTGAGGAGCCCTGGAGTCCTTTGTTATATGCTTCTTTTTTTTATAACAAAGTTAATAATGACCATTTGGTTTTGGTTTTATGCATTGTCTTTGTTTTCTATTTCTCTATTCCTATTTATTTTCCAGTTAATATTGAAGATTTCTTAGCACTTGAACAACTTTTCCAAATGCTCAGTTACTGTCAACAGTCTGTCATGTCCAATTTGGACTAGCAGTTCTTTAACCTGGAAACTGCTGAGGTTCTGCAATTTCCTGTATTCCTGGGTAGTTTGAGCCACATTTTCTTATATCCCATCCTTAATATATCCCATCTTTTAATGCCATTTTTCTTCTTTTTTGTTTTTAAGTCCTAGTTTTTCTCTCATTTGCTCAAGAATACTTTCCATCAGCATGGAATTGTTTTTAAGTCCAGAAATTTATCATTTTAGGGGGTTAATGGCTTAACTGGAGATGGAACTCTAAGCTGAATCATTCTTTCCTCCACATATGAAAGACATTAACTGGCAGTCAAACTTGCTGTTGAGAAGTCTCAAAGAGTTGTTATTTTTATGTAACTTTTTTTTTTTCCTTTCTAGAAATGTCTAAGGTTTCTCTTCTATTCCCTGCTATTCTCAAATTTATTATGTTTCTAGATCTAGGTCTTTTTTTTATTTATTGTTCTGAGCAATCCAAGTACTCATGTCTTTCTATTCTGGAACATATTCTCACGTATTCTTTGATCATTTCTTCTCCTCAGTTGTCTCTATTGTCTCTCTCTCTGGAATTCTTATTATTAGCTGGACATCTACTTCCATTGTATTCTTTTTTTCCTATGATTTGATATCTGGGAGTGGGTAGAATTGTACTGTCTGGAGGATTTTCTCAATTGTTTATTCTGATATATCTATTAGAACTTAAAAAAAAATTTGCTGTCGGGGCACCTGGGTGGCTCAGTTGGTTAAGTGTCCGACTTTGGCTCAGGTCATGATCTCCTGGTTTGTGGGTTCAGGCCCCTCATTGGGCTCTGTGCTGACAGCTCAGAGGCTGGAGCCTGCTTTGGATTCTGTGTCTCCCTCTCTCTGCTCTTCCCCTGCTTGTTCGTTTTCTCTCTCTCACTCTCTCTCTCTCTCTCTCTGTCTCAAAATCTCTGTCTCTCAAAAATAAATAACATTAAAGTTTTTAAATTTTGTTGTCAAATATTTTGAATATCTGCAAATTGTACCATTTCAAAGCATCCTGTTTGTGTTTTATTATAGATGCATGATGTCTATTGCTTTGAAGACCGTGACTATAGTTTTTTCTGTGTCTTTGTTTGTATACACATTCTCACTTATGCGTTTTCTGTTTCCTCCGTTTGTCTTTCTCCTGTTTGTTTTGATCTCTGTTTTGCACCTAAGATTTTAAGCTTTATAAGCTATCTTCTAAACTTTCATTAAATGTCTGCTCATATTTTGATAAGTATTGATAAGGGACTCAAATGCTTATTTGAAATTGAAATGCTTATTTGAATTTGAAATTGTATGGGAAATGCCTATCAACTGTTGGATTTACAGAAGAGTGATTGGCCAGAGTCCCGACAGTTTTATAGGAAGTTCTCTGAATGTCAGTAAAATAGCTCTTTTATTTGGGGGCTGTTTCAGCATTTCCAGAGACTAATTTTTAAATTGAATATATACCCTTGAGTGTTTTTCTGTTATGTGCAGTGATACTACAGTATTGTTTTCTGATTTACCAAAGCAGGCACACTTTTCCGGTTGTAACATATTCCCCAATACCATTACCTTGTCAGCTTCCTAAGCTCAACACCTGGAGATTATTTTATTTCATAAACTATATACATCCCTTAGGACATGCAGATATTCCAGCCCTGTCTTCTTATTACTGGCTCCACATTCTTACTCTTCATTCCAATTTCTACCCTGGTTTAGGCTCTTATCACCTTATGTCAATTCTTTTACTCATCACAGTATATTCAGTGCCTCATCCTTCATGTCTGCATTGCAAAGAGCTCCTGGAAAAAAAATCAGTCCTCAACCATCTTTTTATTTTAATTGATCCAAATTTGGAAACAAATCCTGCACAGACATTCTGCTTTGCTTTCAAGAATCCCCACACCTTGTTCATCAGTCTTTTATATAAATTCTTTACTTCAGCAAAACAGAATTTGTTCTCTCCATTCAACCAAAACATGGCCATTCCTGCTTCCTTTCTTTTCCTATATGTTTCTTCTTCCACATAAACTGTTCCACGCCTTTTGGGTTTGAACTTCTCGGTTATCTGGTCTCTGTCCAAATAGGATCTAACCTCTACTTATCTCCGGGGTTTTTCTCATATGTGATAGCTGACTGTTCATTCCTTTATTTGCTCTTTCACCCAAATTTTGTATTCATATCTGCAGTGGGGTTGAAAATTCCTTTAATGATCCACATTGTATCATTTATTTTAAGTTAGCCTGGTGGCCCACACATCTGTACAAAAAGGGAACCTGGTAAATGATTCTCATACCATGCTTTCAATAAGCATACTAGATAAAATTCAGCATATCAGAATAATAAGATTCTTTTTTAAAATTTTTTATAGTTTTTATTTATTTTTGAGACAGAGCATGAGCAGGGGAGGGGCAGAGAGAGAGAGGGAGACACAAAATCTGAAACAGGCTCTAGGCTCTGAGCTGCCAGCATAGAACCTGATGCAGGGCTCGAACCCACCAACCGCAAGATCATGACCTGAGCCGAAGTCAGACGCTTAACCGACTGAGCCACCCAGGTGCCCGAGAATAATAAGATTCTTAAGTTGTACACTCTTTATAACATTTTGTGTATTTTAAATTCTTACTCTGCACACTCTCTTAGTATTTTCATCGGCCTTTATTACTGTGTTCCCTCTAAACAGTAAGGTCCTTCATTGTAGGGAATGTCTGTCTCCTTTTTCCTTTATTAACCCCTATTATATCATAGACAGTATTTGATACATAGCATATTAGTGATTTCTGTTTTACCTCAGTGACTCTGTGTTACATTATCTAAATTTTTACATGGCAGATTTAAACTTTTATATGAAATTCCAACTTTCATTTTTAAATGGTAGAAATTCCACAAAGTACTATAAAGTAGTTACAAATTTTTAATTTCCTAGAAATTGTATTTTATATTAAAAGATCTTAATTGGCATCCCAAAGCCCTGGCTTCCCACAGTACACTTACTGAGGAAGCCATAGAGATAAAGTGCATGCATTAGCAAAGACCTATCTTGCTTTATAACATGCTACAACTATAAGGAATGGTAGGATTATGCTAGCATTTTGGACATGAGGAAACTGAGGCCCAAGCCCATGTGGGTAGATAGCACAGCAGAAGCCAGGTCCCCATCCTTCCCTCTGATACTGACTTGTTTGCACCCTGCCAGGATGCTGTATATAAAATACATTATTTTTTATTCCATAACATCTTAGTAGGCAATGATGCAGAATGCACATCAAGCTTTTCTTTGGACTTCTAGAAAGTGATATCAGAAATTATGGGTAGATTCAAAGCCAGGACTTGAGTTGCTTTGTTATTTAAAATATGAAAGGAAGCTGGTGCCTGTGTGGCTCATGGCTCAGTCCGTTAAGCATATGGCTCCCACTTAGGTCATGATCTTGCATTTCATGAATTGGAGCCTCGTGCTGGGCTCTGTGCTGACATCTCAAACTCCGGAGCCTGCTTCGGATTCTGTGTCTCCCTCTCTCTCTCTGCGCCTCCCCCACTCACACTCTGTTGCTCTCTCTCTCTCAAAAATATGCATTAAAAATGTTTAAATATGAATGTGGGAGTATGGATGTATAGGTACTGCAAACATGTAATGATTAACAATGTTCTAAATTTTGGCCTGAAGAAAACAGACAAAAATACTCTTGTTGATATAAAATGAAATATTTTGCTTAGTAGATTTATATATTGTCATTAATCCTTTAATAGCAAAAATAAAATTTTCCAATTTTGATTCTTTTTCAGCTACATGTGGTCATTTGAAAAAGCTCACCTCAGCATGGTTCAGATAATCACAGGACAACTTGTTGAGTCCTTCGATGAAGAATTTAGAACTCTCTATGCCAGATCCTGTGTCCCCAGTTCATTCGCTCAGGAAGAATCAGCAAGGGTGAAGCATGGCAAAGCACTCTGGGAGAATGGCACCTACCAGCGTTCAGTTTCCTCACTAGCTTCTGTTTCCAGCCAAAGAAACCTTTTTGGCAGACAGGACAAAATTCATAAACTAGACTCCAGTTACTTCAAAAACAGAGGGATATATACTCTAAATGAGCACGACAGATATGGCATAAGAAATCATGGCTACAAGCCTCATTTTATTCCACATTTTAATGGTCCAAATACAGTCCGTCAGTATCAGTCCAGTCAAATAAATGAAAATTGGAAGAGGCATAGTTATGCCGGGGAACAGCCAGAAACAACACCATACCTGCTGCTTAACAGGGCTCTGAATCGAAATGTTAATCCTCCAGGTAATTGGAAGAAGCCTTCAGATAGTCTGAGTGTGGCGTCCTCATCACGAGGCGGCTATGCAGGCCACCGTAACACACCTGCCCAGAGTTTTGCTGATCGGCTTGCCCAGAGAAAAACAACCAATCTTGCAGAAAGGAACTCAAATGTACGGAGGTCTTTTAATGGGACAGATAATCATATTCGCTTTTTGCAACAACGAATGCCAACCCTTGAACATACCACAAAGTCGTTCTTGCGTAACTGGAGAATTGAATCCTACTTAAATGATCATTCAGAAGCTGCACCTGATTCAAATGGATCGGCTCTAGGTGACCGGTTTGAGGGCTACGATAGTTCTGAAAATGTGAAAGCCAACGCTCTTTATACTCATTCTCGGCTTCGTTCCTCTTTTGTATTTAAACCGACTTTACCTGAGCAGCAAGAAGTTAGCAGTTGTACAACTGGCTCCTCAAATTCAACTGTCGTCGGTTCCCAGGGAAGTGACACACCTAAGGAGGTCTCGGACACCCCTATGAGTGTACAGCATATGACAGACAAGCCCTTGCCGGAATCAACCCCAAAGCTCCCACTGCAGTCTGAGGCACCCAAAATGCACACCTTGCAGGTTCCCAAAAACCACTCAGCAGGCTCGCATCAAACTACAAATGGCCATACAGAGTCAAACAACTATTTATATACATCCTTGTGTTCAAATAAGCAGACAGAAAATCTAAAGAGTCAACAAAATGAGAATCTGCTCAAAAGGCGAAGTTTCCCATTCTTTGACCACTCAAAAGCCAATTTAGATCATGGACACAGTAAGCATTATGTATATAGTACGCTTACCAGGAATCGAGGTAGACAACCAGAGAAACCCAAAGAGGATTTGCTGAAAAGTTCTAAGAGTATGCACAATGTGACCCAGAGCATGGAAGAGGACAGGGAGGCCATCAAGAGAGACCCTCCGAGTGGCACTACTACCAAGTCAATTTCCATTGCTGCTTTGCTCGAAATGAATAAAGATGAACCTAGCAAAGAACTCCCTTCAAAGAAGGAAGTTAAAGGTTCGCCAAGTTTTTTGAAAAAGGGCTCTCAGAAGTTAAGGTCATTACTTAGCCTTACCCCAGAGAAGAAAGAAAATCTATCCAAAAATAAAGCCCCTGCCTTTTATAGAATGTGCAGTAGTTCTGACACATTAGTTTCTGAGACCGAGGAGAATCAAAAACCAAAGAAGTCAGAACCAAAAGTTGATTCATCTCCTAGAAGAAAGCGTTCTTCCTCATCAAACTCTCAAGGCAGTATTCATAAGAGTAAGGAAGACGTAACTGTTAGCCCATGTCAGGGGATCAATTCTCCATCCGATGAAAGTAGTAAAACAATACCTTCTTCAGGTCCAGTTGAAAACAAGTTCTTGGAAAGGGCAGGTGATGCTTCTGCCCCTCGATTTAACACCGAACAGATCCAGTACCAAGATTCGAAGGAGGCTAATACAGTTCTGGCTCCTGAAAGAAAACCAGCTTCTTCTCCAAGGCAAAAGTCCAGTGAGCTTCTAAGATCTCATTCAACCGATAGGCGCATTTACAGTCGTTTTGAGCCGTTTTATAAGATTGAAAGCTCTATTCAGCCAGCAAGCAACCTGCCAAATACTGGTGTGCACCGCCCAGAAATAAAATCCACAACTTTGGGCAATAGTTACGGCAGGTCCAGCCCACTGCTTAACTACAACACTGGTGTGTACCACTCATACCAGCCAAATGAAAACAAGTTCCGAGGATTTATGCAGAAATTTGGAAACTTCATACACAAAAATAAATGAAATACTGTAACATCAAATAGTTTTAAAAATACAAATGACAGTAACTATAAGTTTGTGTCCAGAGAACACTGTGGGTAGTTTTTGTAACATGCCAATAGATTTCTAGAAGGGCAGAGTTTGGGGATATGATATAAATGTTTGCCAGTGTACTAATATATACAGTAAAGTTCTGTGTGATAAAATTAGTTGTGCTTCATTACAGTGTAGATAGAATGCCTCTATACACATGGTTTTTAAATGGTAGTGGTAAAAAAAATGTAAACTGTTTTCTTCAGACTGAAGATCTTTTTAAGTCTCAGATAGAAACTTTAGTGGAGACATGGTGTATGGATTTTAAGCATTTGTTCCAAACCCTTTCCCTTTAAAAAAGGATCAGAATATATCTCAGTGGCCCTTTATAATATATCTTTATGGGTTTTCGTAGCTTCACATTATGAGAAAATAGGACAAAGCCTTTTTGGGTTTTAATTACCTTTAAATTCTACAGGGTAACTTGTTCTATTTCATTAATGTTTTATTTTCCTGTGGAACATATGTGACCGGTTAGGCAGCAACAATACAATTTAAGTCATGTAGGTCAGCACATCTTTCATTTTGACTTCAGTGTTTGCAGACTATCAAACTCATGTAGTACCTGGTAGGAATTTCTGTTCCTAATTTTTTTTAAAAAACCTTCCAGGTGTTGTTTCTTTGCACTCTGGACCAAGGAAGCCTATACTCCAGTCACCAGGGAACTGCTGAACTGTTATAAGCATTCTTTCTTTGAAACTTGGAGCAAGCAACAGATATTTGGGAAACTTGAATTCTAAACTTCTGCATAAATTTTTATCTTAAGAGTAGCAGGACAAAGCTTAGATGTTTTGCTTATAAAAGTCTTTGCTCTTTTTTACACTGTGCCAAATGTAATTTGTGCCAAACAATCTGACTGCATACTGTTTTCATAAAAGTTCCGTGATGAACCTGAGAAGTGATATCTGGCCCCATTCTTCCATGACTATGAAGCCTGGTTGAAAGTTTTAACTCCTTCAATATCTTAATTTGGTGATGATATCTTAATTTGGCTATGCTATAAAGCATAAGATACCCTTTGCCTTTTTTAGAGTAATGAAATTAAAGCCCCATGTCTGTTAAAGAGATTTAACTTATCTTTACTTCATCCAGAAAGTACAGAATTCAAGAAACAATGCATCATTTGAGAAGTGTAAAGTGTTTTTGTAAGACTTTAAATATCTTATATAACATCTTCTGAGCTGCAGTGTGGAGCAGTATGTTGTTTTAAAAAATCAGGGCTTAGTCAAATAATGTCTGTGTCATTAAATTAAAAAAAAAAACAGCATTAAAATACCAGTCATTAGAATAATTTTCCATAGTATTAAAATAGCATGATAACATGATGAGAGAAGACATGTCAGTAGAGAAAATAAACCTAACATTTATTGAGCACTTTTATAGACCAGGTCTTCAGCTAGAACCTATAGTTCCCACAACAATTATTTTAGCTTCGTCCTCATTATTTGTAGGTGATGATTAAGGTGATAAATGAAACTTTGAGACTCAGAGAGGTAAGGCCCCAACTCACACAGTTAAAAGATAATGGTACTCTAGTGTCTAACATGCAGTCACATCCCGTTTCCTCCCAAATGAGTTCAACATTGGCCTCACCTGAACTATTGAGAATTAAATGAGAGAATGTTTATGTTTTCTGCTTCAACAGTAATCAGCTAAGAAAGGTTTAGTTGAATTCCACCAGATAAGAAGGATATAGTGGGGCTTAAAATAATCATAGTAGGTGAGATAGGAAATGAAATTGACATTTATTTCTGATTGTAACTTAGCAGGCCAGTTTTAATTGTTAGACCACCATTTTGATCTTGTGCTGGTTAACCTGTGACAACGAAAAGAAGGAAAAGGAACCATAAGTGAGTTTAACCTGTGTATGTGCTAGGGAAAGCAGTCCACTGGGTGAGAAAGCTCAGCAGGGAATGGAACTCAGTGTTAAATATGTTATCTCCTTACCTCTTCACAATGGCCCTGTGAAGTAAGTACGTCCTTTTTTGCAAATGAGAAAACTAATCCTCAGAGACGTTCCAAAATCTTCTGAGATGTATGGCTCTGAACTGGTAGAACTGGGTTTAAACACAAAATGGGGTGTGAACACAAAAGCCTGTGTTTTTAATACCATTTTCTTTTTCCTTTTTTTTTTTTTTCAGTGAGAGTGACCAAGAGAGGGGTGGGTTGAGGGTGGAGGACAGAAGACCAAAGCTGGCTCTGTACTGACACCAGCAAGCCCGATGTGGGGTATTGAACTCATAAACCACAAGATCTTGACCTGAGCCAAAGTCAGATGCTCAACCCACTGAGCCACCCAGGTGCCCCCTGTAGTTTTAGTAGTAAACCATCCCATACTTTGTTTTGATTGAGGAAGCTTTCCTGAAAGTGGTCTCTCTTCTTTGCTCTATCTTTACAAATTGTAGAAATATACCAGTAACTGTATAGCAATAGCATTTTATAAACACAAATCCAAAATATAAATTCAGTTTAACATTATTCATAAAAATGGGTTTTAAAGACTCTCATTATTGTTATAATCTTATAAGAGTCCCATTGTTTTGGAAAGCTGTGTGTAATAGATTGTACATTTGGCACACTTCCTAAATAGTATAAAAATAAAATTGAGAAAGAAAGTTATTTTTCACAGGCAAAGTAGCCAGTTGTATTTACAAATATTTTGCATTTTTAAAATGACTTTTGGAATGTGCATTTCCTTATAATCAGATAAGAAATTCAGTTGCAATGAAAAAAATCTAATTGCTAGTGGGTTAGGTTTTAGAGTCCTCTGGCAGTGTATAATCTTCATATGTTAGTATCAAATTATTAAAAAGCATTAGAATTGGAATCCAGTGAATGAAAGATATTTTTCATTTTGCTCTTAGAAAATGTCACTTTTGTAATTCTGAACCATAGTCCTTTACCCACTTACCAAAGGTAGAACCCATAGTTAACCAAACCAAATTGACTTTAATATTACCCATTCTTTGTCTGTTAGATGGGGCATTTTTCAAGGCTAAGAGGATAATGGGCTAATTGTCTTTAGACAGCTCTGAAATTGGAAGCTCTAAAATGTAGAGCAGGGTAACTTTGAAGCTGAAATTACATAGACGAGTTTTAATCATGTTTAATTACAAGCAAAGGCCTGTTGCTTTTTTTGTACAGTGACTGCCATCATTTCTGGAAACATAGATAGCTTTTAAATAGTCCCTGAATCCCTCCTCTTCCTAGTGGAATTGAGAAGTGCATGATGCTTTATTTCATCTACCTGTGACAAGTAGCTTGGGCTTTTGTACAGATTTCTTTTCCTCTGCCTTTTTCCCCCCATTTATTTATTTTTTTTCTCCAGAAACCTCTGTATTTCAGAATCTATACTTCCCAAAGTTACTATGGCTGAGAAATTCCTCAGGATTGGGACTGAGTAAGCACATAATACTTCAAATAATTTACTCAGAGTTTAAGTTTCAAACAGATGCTTTCAAACTTCATAGATGTAATCATTTCAAGCAAAACACTTTCTTTTGCTCCCCATATTAATATTGGTGGAAAGATAATGGCACTTAGATGTACTTTCATATTACAGTTTGGTAAGGCAGTTTTTACTGTCTACATAATACATTAGTTTGTAAGCAGAAACTCAAGAAAATAGGTACGATTTCAAAGCAGATTTGGCAGATGTCTGCAGAATAGCTGAAGTGCTTGTATCCTGAACATGCTGGTATCTCTCTACTATAGTGATTGGGATTAGCCACGTTTCTAATGTGGCATATTGAGTAATGGGTTATGTGTTGGCAGTCTATTTTTTATGGAAACAAATACCTTGTTTAATCAAGATGACATCTATTGTGATCTAGATAAGCAAGGAAGAAGTTGAACTCCGGCAACATTCAACTATAACTATACTCAAGATTGTCCAGTTATTCAGCTATTACTCTGCAGATATTTGTCTTTCATGAGTATCTATTGATTCAATGTGACTATGGCCAAGGGATGGAAAGTAGAATCATTGTTTCACCCTAACTACATGTGATAATGTTTTTTAAAAAAAGTTTATCTTAATATTCAGTTTTGTTCTAGAATATTTAAAATGAAAAGGATGAAATTATAAACCAAAGAGTCAATTTTTATATACATAAATGTTGGCAAAGAAATATTCTTCCAAATTAGCCTGGTTTTAGATCTAATAAATAAATATTAACTAATTTTGTACAAACATCAATATATTGTATGTTGTTTGTTTTTTATCTTCATATATATGTATTTCTCCATTTAAGAACATGTTTTTATTTAGCTTATAGCATGAATTTAAATTTTTTGCACACTTTTAATATTATGAATTTTGAAATAATATCCTGAACACTTTTAGTTTTTATTTTTGATTAGCAATTAGATTTCATACAATAGTTTATCCATATTGGATAACCAGTGACAGTACTCTCCCTTAAACACAATATCATATACATTCATTCTCTATTTCTGTTTCTACTGGAATATATAGCTATTTTAAATAACTTGGCACTTTGAAAAATAGAGACAATTTTGTTAAAAAAAAAAAAAGAATAGCTGACCTTTGTATAATGTTTTAGCATTTAGTTTGAGTAAAATATTCTTAAGGTGCATTTATACTAGATCAGTTAGTGACATTAAATAACCTAGAGTCTGAAAGTTATTTAAAACTCAAAATGCATTTTTCCTAGGAAGAAAAACGCCTTCATATCATAGACTAAGATGCAATTCAATACTGTGTATTGGGAATTGAATAGTGTTTTAAAGACAAATATAGGTAAGTATAATTTAAGTAGGTTACTTTAATTTTAAGGAGAAATCTTGTATTTTCCCCCATTTACCATAAATATGGATGTTTAAGAAAAACCTAGTTCAATGGGATGGTAAGGAAAATGGATAAGGTTTTACTTTTGTGACCATGCTAAAGACCAACCTGAGGTAACTGGACTAAACATGAAAGGGGACTGAAAGGGGTGAGTGTGTGTGCTGCCTGTGGGGAAGAATTACATGAGGTGAAATTACCTGAGGTGAAAGCAGGAAGAAACTGAAGCAAGAGATATAGACAGGAAAACCCCCGAGTTAACAAAGAAAATGCAGCATGTCAAATTGGACATTTCTCCCATAATAATCTGTTTCAACAGTCTGGCCCTTTTTTTTTTTTTTTTTTTATGGTCACACATCTGCCTTTATTGTGAACAGCAGGTCGGATGCTTCCAGCAGTAGTAAAAATTAATTTACAAAAGTGGAATTCCATGACGTCTTCTGGTCAGAACCCTTGGGAGCTCAAATGTAGATGGCTACCCTGAGCAGTAAGAAGCAGGACTCCAGGCCCATAAAGAGCAAGGCAACCGAGGAGATGAAGCACTCCTTGCAGATACCCTGACTGTACTTGGCACCTCATAAAGAAAACTAAGCGAAGAACTGCAAATGGTCAGCAGCACCACAGTCAGATGCAGGGAGACAGCCAGGTTCACTGGGCTGGTGCATCTGGTCACGGCCTCAAGCTCCATTTTGCCAGGCCCAGGGGAATCCACTGCTCTGCCCCTGGGATCCAATCTGGCTCATTTTTCACCTAACATACTGGGAACCTACTTTATTCCAAGTATGCAGGTTATAGTAGAATATCAATGTAAGAAAAAAATGAGATGTCTGGGTAATCAGATGCTGCAGCAAGTTTTCATGAGCATTTTAAGAATAGCCCAAACTAACAGCATAAATGTATATGCTTACCCAAAGTCTGTCCAAATTTGTGCCTTGATGTACTCCTAGTGCCTAGCAAAGTGCACAGAAGAGATGCCTGATAAATAGTCTGTGTATGAATCCAATCATTTCCTTAACTATAATTAGATAAATCCATTCATTAAAATGTACATTTTATAGATATCTATATAGCCATTTGTACTAAAAAACACGGATGGGTAAATGCAGCAAGAGTCCTAGCTTAAATTTCTGCCACATTTACCCTGCGATCTGGACATCTTTACAGGTCCAACAAGTTTAGTCTTTTGAGAATACATATACTGGAAGGAAAGGAAACCCCTGATGAAGAATTCATTCTGAAGGAAAATAGAGTAGAGCTGTTCAAATTCAGTGCAGAGACAATCGGCACACAAGAGAAAGAAGCATAACTGTGTAAAGTCATTCAGATTGTCAAGCAAGGTCAGTCGTCTATGTGGGACTGTAACAGAAGAGTGGCTTCTCTAAAATCTCCAAGGATGCTACTTGGAGAGTCAGGTGTCAAGGGCCGCCACCACAGGAGCCCTCGCCGTGACCCTCAGCACACAGCCTTCCATTTTCAGCAGCAGCCTTTTAATGTTAACTTAATGTCAACTTAATGTTAACTTATAGCTACAACTACAGACCCTGGTGAGCAACAATGAGGTACATCTACCACTTGTAGTGTGACCAGTGATTGACCACATTACCACAGAGGGCCAGAGCAGAAAAGAATAGGTACCATGAGGAAGCCACGATCGTAAAACCCTCTAGGGACACCTAGAACATATACACTGGGAAATTAGGAGGGATGGAAATTCCACCAGAACAGGTTTAGACGGGAACTCACTGCTCCCTTATTATTGAACTAGAATGGGTTGGGAAATACAAGTCATATCTATCACATAGCCACAACAAAACATAAAGTGTTTATGACAAAATTCACAAAATGAATTTGATAGAATGGTCTCCACTGTTTTCATTAGATATGAATGGGGGAGAAGCCAACCACCCCCTCAAAAAACAAAAACAAAAACAAGAACCTTTAATTAGGGACTTATTTTCGACAACAACTTTCAGGGTATATCCTGATACCAACACATTTTACCTTTACACTGTTTTTCTAGCTATAGAAATAAAAATTTTTAACAGTCTTTATGTGTCTCGATTACCAGGCACATTCTACTAGATTTAATAGACCATAATTTTTATTTTTCACTCTATTTTTTGAGAGAGAGAGAGGGAGCAAGTGCTCCAGCTGGAGGGAGAGGCCGAGAGAGAGGAGGAGAGAGAATCCTAAGCAGGCTCCACGCCTAGCATGGAGCCTAAGGCTCCATGAACCATGAAATTGTGACCTGAGTCAAAATCAAGAGTCCATCACTTAACAGACAGAATTAGCCAGGCTCCCCTGGTAAACAACATTTTTTTAAAGAAAGCTTTTTTTTGGGGGGGGGGGTGTGTATGTGTTTGCTTTACAAACTACCAAAATTTTATTTTAGTTCACTACTAAGACTAAGTTAGATATTCATTACATTAAAACAAATATTCTAGTTAATAAGATTCTACAGTAAAGCCCAGAATTGGATGTGTTTTTATAAGTGGGATGTCAACTGAAAGCAAGCCAACCTCAAAATAGGCTAGTAAATGTTTTGTTGTCTCACTGAGAACCAGAGCCCAGCAAACATTTTTTCAAATTGCTTTGAGGAACTGCTCTGAAGCTTGTTAGCTACAGGGGGTGATATATACAAAAAGGGGAAAGGGAGATTCATGCTTGCAAGCAGTTCTCCAAATACGTGAGTGTCACAAGGTATATTTGGTTGCGTTTACAAAAGTTAGGGTATCCTGATTTCCACACAGACAGGAGAGCAAGACCCTTAGGTCTTCTCAATATATTATGGGTTTCTTGTTGTTGTTGTTTTTAATAGTATTTAATGGTCCAAAAGTACTGCCTACATGCCTCTGCTTAACTAGTTTTCTGGTTCTGCCTGTTTTTGCTATCTCCTTGAGGTCACTTGACACATTCCCAGAAGCTGACATCAGTTACCTATGGCAGTTTTAGTGCACAGTTCCCCTCTTTGTCAAATTGCAGCCTATGGCAGACAATGGTGACCAAGTATCTCTTTGTCCCAGGGCACTAGGAATGTTTGTGCCTATTGGGATAAATGAGGCAGACATGTCCTAAAAAGGATAACCATCTTCAAACTTCTACATTTGCTAAAGTTTAGGAATTTTGTAGCCTGAGGTAACTCCTGATGTCTGGGTAAAAACAGCCAAACATTATACAGAACTGTATGGATTATTTATAGTATCCATACGTTTGACCATCATTAGCTTAGTTCAAGTCTGAGTAGACTGGTGCCCACAATAAGAACTTAATTTATATAGTAAATATGTTAACAGTAAAAAGGCTAATGTCTTAGCTAGAAACATTAAACTAAGTTTAAAACAAGAATTTTAGAACTGAACCAGTTATCTAACATTTCCTCAAGACTGAGTGTTGGGTCACTTAAACATGATATTTGGTATGATTAGCTAATTCTGGCATAGTGGAGCCCCTGACTTAATCTAGCTTCATGGGGAGTCAGCCACACAAATCTGTCCCATATCTGGAATAAATTATCACCAGAAGTCCTTGTGTTGTGGTTACAAATTAACATTCTCCCCTTTTGACAAGATTTTTTCCCCTTAACATCAGCATTGTCCCCTCTTTTTTAATTTTATGTTTGAGAGACAGAGTGAGACACCGTGTGAGCAGAGGAGGGGTAGAGAGAAAGGGAGACACAGAATCCGAAGCAGGCTCCAGGCTCTGGACAAATATTCAGCACAGAGCCTGATGTGGGACTTGAACCCACCAACTGCGAGATCATGACCTGGGCCAAAGTTGGACGGTTAACAAACTGAACCACCCAGGGGCCCCAGCATTGTTCCTTCTCAGCTGGAGTTTAACTGTACTGTTCTGGACCTTAGGTAAGAGGCCTGTTTCATAGCTCTTGAACCAGTCTTAGTCTTGAGAATAGGTCAGTTCAGTTAAACAGTTGTCTTGTTTCAACAGGTGATCCTACAGATGGGCTTTCAAATAAGCCTACATTGTGCAAGCAGTTAGACTTAATAAGGGGCATTTCTAATGGAAAGAAAAGAAAAGCACAGGTTAGTCAGCAAATTATAGCTCCAGGGTCCAAGTGCTGAATGCTATCAGTGAGATGGCTTTTAGATGTTGACTCAATGCATCTTCAGATGGGATGAGGGCAGTCAGTGCAGTCTGATAGATTTTCCTGGTTTAGTTTGACTGTCTCTGGTGATCTTTCCGTGTGGCCCATATAGCAACTGGCATGAAGATTGTCTGAATATGGCCATTGTGGTAATTTCTGAGAAGTTAACTTCAAGTTGTCTGTCTTCAGCCTGTAGGGCTTCAGGGACGCAGGGCGGTTTAAGTTCTCAATGATTCTAAGTCAAAAGAACAGAAGAATATTGGAAATCTTAGTTTGGA